CTACCTATTAAAATAAGCTATAAATATTAAATATGCCCTAAATTAATAGAGAAGATGTTAACATACCATTTCTCCCCGGATGTCAGCGCTCCCTCAGGATCGACCTCTTCGTTCGCCTGCCCCCATCAAGCTTGATCTCTTTTTTGAAAACAGCGCCCCCAAAAAAAATTGTCATCTTCTTACAGAGTAAGAAAAAAAAATTTAATATTCTTAGAATATAAAAAATTGTAAAATATTATTATTCTTTTTTTTTAAGAATAAAAATTGAAATAATAAATATAAATGCTCATCCCTTGAGAAATTTGTATAGTAATTTCTTCTTCACGAAATTTAAAATAACGAGACATACTTTATTAATTTTAGAATAAAATAAATAATAAAGGTAAAATTATATTATCTTTCTTATCAAGAGATTATTTGGATTAGTAATAAAATTAATAAAATCTAACATGTTTGTCCCTTTGAGAAATTTATATAATAATTTCTTTTTTAAGAAATTTTAAAATAAGGAAATATGTCCAATCTATCTGGATATGCCAGTAATTGGCTTTATTCATTTTTAGAATAAAGAAAAAATAAATTTAGGAAATTCTCGAAATGGTAATATAACCCTTTTGGACGTTTCATATTGCATAAAAAAAGGTGATTGGCATTAGTTAACATATGTACCTATGTACATAGTTTGTACATCCTCCTCTGGACCTTTCTACAGTGGGCTTCGAATTCTTGGACAGGGCCAGTACCATCTCCAGCTGGGTGTCTTCCCCGGCTTTTGGTCTTTAGAGCATCGCCGAGCTCCTTGTTGTGGAATTCTCCATCTGGACAACAAACAATTTCGGCAAGACACTGTGTATATATATGATGTAAATGTTTACATCATTGTTGGGTCTATTTTGTGAAAAATCTGGCCCAACAATTCCTCCCCTGTCAGAGTGAAAAAAAATGCGTTTTTCAATTCAGATCTGTTCATGCTCTATGATAAATATGAATTTGGAAGAAATGCATTTTTTTTCGATGCTAGTATGTGCAATCACTGATATTCAGGCAAAGGGGGAACTAACGGGCCATGGTACCTAGAACAGGTTAACTCATAGTAATATTGAAAGGAAATCTTATCCTACCATTTAGTGGCCAAAATACTATGCCCATCTTTCTCTGTCTGTATGCCGGAGGGTTTGGCCTAGTTGTGAGGTGAATCCACACATTCCCAGCCGCAGTCCCTATAGGTGGAGATGGGGGGTGGTCTATACACAGATTCTGTACAAACAGACCCTTAGACCGTTCTAGATAAACATAATCGTATGGGCGCCAAGGAATTGTGCGTGTAAATGTAGATATGTCCAATTCCTAATAAGGTAAAAATTAAATTGGCATATGCTATCAAATAACAATAATAATAGGGCAAACAGAATGAGGGGAATGAATATATATGTCAAAGTTGAACGAATAAGATATATGCCGAAATGGAACACAATGATACTAAAAAAATTTTAAATGAATATATGTTATAAGTAGAAAGGAAATGACTTGATATATATATAGGATATACAATAATAAGCAAATGAATATATAAGCTGTGATTAAATTCTTCATTCAGTACATTTGTCCGAAGATGGTAACAACGCTGTTACCGAAATATCACACACACTAATTATTTATTTTGGAATCGGTCTCGTTATCTTGCTTTTGTAGTCTATAGCTCAAATTGTGCCTTATCTATATATGAATATACATGAATATAATTAGAGAGGGGATATACATGGTGGATGGTACATTAAATGAGTAATACTACCTCTGGATAATAAATATGCCAAATTTTTGGCAGAATATGATATATAGGAAGGAAATAACACTGATATGGGAGATACATTATGATAAACAAACGAAAATACATATATACTCTGTAGTTAAACTTATTTAGTGCGTTTTGTCTGAAGATGGTAACAACGCTGCTACCAAAATGTCACACATCATTTATTTGGATTTGGTCCCGATATCTTAGGTCTATAATCCAAATTGTGACTCATATATATATAAATATACGTGAATATAATTTTAAAAAATGATACATGGTAAATGGTATTACTGAATAGATAATAATAATAAAGGAATAATTATGCACTGAGGATCATGGGCATTTCGCGAGTATTTCAAAATTTACATGTATTACTTAAAAGTTTGTTCTTACTAACTTGTCACAGGGAGTGTTTGTCTGACGTGTTCTCCGCCTCTCTTAACCATGATGGTAAAAAAAATAGAAAAGAAATCTTAGTAGTCAGTAATTCATTAAACCAGATTATTTCCAAATTTACCTTATCGTGATGACAATCTTACCTTATCTTTGTCTTTAGTTGAACACTGTTGTTAACCTCTGTTATACATTGTTTAGCTCATCCATAGAATGTGTACTCATATTTTTAACCAATAAATTCACTTTAATAAAATACATAGATTAACCCCGAAGGAATAAAATGATGATGACTAACAACCTAGGACTAACTTCTACCTTACGATATATCTTCTCACACTTTAGTTCCTAATACCTCTCTGTAATCTGACCCTTTGTCCTAAGAAAAAAAAAATAAAATAAACTTACTGTTCTGGGCTACTTCTCAGCTAAAAAAAATTGATACTCAATCTTCCCTTAAAAATTTCTCCTTCTTCAAGTCTGGGATACTGGCCTGTTCTGGCAATCTACTCTGAAGTTCATTTTGGTGTCCTACTAATTTAAACTTTATCTTAACATTGAACGAGTTATCCTCGTGAAAAAAAAAAATCTACTTACTAATTGGTATTTAGACTTGAACTCGTTCTAACTAAACGTATGGTAGACAATAGTCTTTAATCAGGTGATTAACTTTTGCTAGCCTTGGGCGATATAAAACACAAAGAATCTGGACAGTCCATCTGTCACTTTGCTAACTGGTACCTAAAAAAAAATCTGTAGACGGAATCGCCTCATCTAATCGTAACTTGTCTCTTATATGCCCTAATTGTTAACTCTCATTAGAAACCCCCTTTAGACTTTGACTTAGAAACAAGGAGTTATAGGGACTTCACTTTTACCCACCACATGTTTCAAGTTTGTCCATAGAGGATTGGTTCCAAGCTGCGCAATATATAGAAGAGCATCCAAAGTGCCGATCCTTCCCAACCTCCCGTCTGAATCACCCTCATCTCAGCCACGCTTAAAGCGTCGTAAACTACGATGTCAGATCGGTTACCTGAGGTTTTTCGCTGTGCACTTAGCTTGCGACATCGGCAACTAAATCCCCCACCTACTACAAAGTTCACCTGATACCTCTCCGTTCCCTCTAATGAGGAAAATAATTGAAGGCTTTTTGGTCTGATCATAACCTCCCACAACCTTCCAGTCTGAGAATCGAGACATGATGATTATCTACGACTCTTAGAATTCAAGTTGATATAATGAAATAGAGTAATTGATTACCCAAATAAAATAAATTATACTTATACTCCTTAAAAAGGAGGCCTAACAAAAGGGAGCGAATACCTTCCTATCAGTAGAGTTGTATAGTCCTGTGAGGCTATCGATCCTAACAAATAAAGAAATCAAAATAAAAAAAATCGAATCTATTAAGTCCCCTAACCCTATTCTGATGTACCTTTGGTCTAACAGTATAATTGATTGTAGCTTTCTCACATTCATTCCGCATTCCCTTTCATACAATTCATTCATGGCGAGCAATCATACTAGAGCTAAATTATATTATATAAGCCAAAGCACTTCAATAATCAATGTTAACATTACCCTAACAATTGCTAATCTCCAGGACTAATGTGAAATCAAATAAAGTTACTTAATTAAAACAAATTGGGGACTAAAGCCCTATTTACTCAAATAAAATATGACTCATACAAACTCTATATAAATCACCTGCACTCAAATAAATAATATTTATACTCAAACAAATTAATAAAATTGATTGTTGGCAATCAAATACTGAAACCTAACCTATCATAAAATTTGTGCGTCTAACAGTTTGAAAAACTCTTCTTCTTATCTTGACACTTGGTGTCTAAACAAAACGAATCATCAAAACTAGCACTTAAATTGGAGCGAACTGAACTTCGAGCATTTACCTCATTGCCAAACATGATAGATCTACAAGTGTTTGCCAACCCTACTTCCTAAATAAGGTCATTGGCGTCTTCCCTTCCCTGCTATTCAGCTAAACCCCTCCTTTGGAATCATAGGGCTTTCAATACCCAACCTGCTTTGGAGTTTAACATCAGAGATCACTTGTTATCCTAACATATCAACTCTTAGACCACAACTGCCCTACACACTTTCATTAGAAATTCTCCTTGAACTGTATTTTGGACCCAAGGGATTAAAGAGAGTCAAGTTTTACCCAACGCATGTTCCAAGTTCGTCCATAGAGAATTGGTTATAAGCGCAGCAGTTATCAAGTGCGTCTAAGTTCCTTTATCTATTTTTAAAGTTGAACCAAAGTTCAGAACCTTAAATAAAAAATTAAGATAAAATAAACTGTTGAACTTACTTCAATCTTAAACCACATTGTGCTATTAATACAGAATTGTAGCTTTAATAAACACAAAAAAAACTGAAAACTCTTTGATTAATTTTCTAACATTAAAGCTCAAGGTAGCAAAAAAAAACTGAAAACCCCTTTACAATGACATTTAAAAAATCTAAAACCAAGGTTGTAGCAAAAAAAAGAATAAAAACTGAAATCCCTTTAAGACCACCTTTAAAGGCCGTCAAATCACTTCCTAATACTTCATACTATGATCAAAATTTTGACTAAATTCAGTACACATTCTATAGATTTACTTTTAAAATACAATATAACGCGGCTGATGATTGTAAAACGAAAATTAAAATTATACCGCGAATGTTTCTTTTATAAAAATCGAAATTTATTTTCAAAGAGAAATAGCGACATTTCTAACTTTGAGGATGAGGTATGGAAAGGTGAAACATGAAGAGTAATGGCGAACGGAAAAATAAAAAGTGTCCAGAGGCGGGAATCGAACCCACACCCTTCTGCTTACCGGGCAGGTGCCATGTCCACTCGGCTACCCTGTACGTATTTTTCCGTTCGTAACTAATACTTAAAGTAACATTTAAAATACAATATAACGCGGCTGATGATTGTAAAACGAAAATTAAAATTATACCGCGAATGTTTCTTTTATAAAAATCGAAATTTATTTTCAAAGAGAAATAGCGACATTTCTAACTTTGAGGATGAGGTATGGAAAGGTGAAACATGAAGAGTAATGGCGAACGGAAAAATAAAAAGTGTCCAGGGGCGGGAATCGAACCCACTCCCTTCTGCTTACTGGGCAGGTGCCTTGTCCACTCGGCTACCCTGGACGTATTTTCCGTTCGTAACTAATACTTAAAGTAACATTTAAAATACAATAAAACGCGGCTGATGATTGTAAAACGAAAATTAAAATTATACCGCGAATGTTTCTTTTATGAAAATATAACTGGACACTTTTTATTTTTCCGATCGCCATTACTCTTCATGTTTCACCTTTCCATACCTCATCCTCAAAGTTAGAAATGTCGCAATTTCTCTTTGAAAATAAATTTCGATTTTTATAAAAGAAACATTCGCGGTATAATTTTAATTTTTGTTTTACAATCATCAGCCGCGTTATATTGTATTTTAAATGTTACTTTAAGTATTAGTTACAAACAAAAAAATACGTCCAGGGTAGCCGAGTGGACATGGCACCTGCCCGGTAAGCAGAAGGGTGTGGGTTCGATTCCCGCCCCTGGACACTTTTTATATTTCCGTTCGCCATTACTCTTCATGTTTCACCTTTCCATACCTCATCCCCAAAGTTAGAAATGTCGCTATTTCTCTTTGAAAATAAATTTCGATTTTTATAAAAGAAACATTCGCGGTATAATTTTAATTTTCGTTTTACAATAGATTTACTTATTGGCAGCCTGGGCATGACTTACACCCTGTGGGCTTCTTGACCCTGGTTGAACGGCGTATTTCAAGGCCTCCTACATTGCAACCAATTACCCTATTCACTATGCCTAGTGGACTTCTTAAGATTGCCGTCTCTTGTGGTTCCTCTGGTTCTACAGTAGGACAAAATTGTAGCATAAAATTAAAAGGAAAACTGAAAACTCCTTAAATCACATCCTAACAAGGTTGTGAAAACTCTTCAAAATGATGTACTACATTAAAACAAGGTTGAGACAACTCTTTACAATTATCATTTATCACTAAAGCACACATTGTAGTTTAGAATAAAAGAAAACTGAAAAACCCTTTGAAATTCATTACTACACTAAAACAAACTTGTAGTTTTAAAATAAAAGAAAACTGAAAACTCTTTAAATCACATCCTATCACTAAGAACAAAGTGTTGTTTAAAAAAGAAAAGAAACTGAGTAGCTCTTTAAAATCATATACCAACACTAAAACAAAAATTGTAGCCAAAAAAAAAACTGAATACTCTTTAAGGAAATTCTGGCTTCTCAAAAAGGAGAATACATATTTGTTATTTAATATAACCTAACATTATAACTAATATAGACCTATGTATATAAATTAGTGTATACAGTTACTGAATTTTAGGTAAATCAGCCCATACCAACTCTCAATGCATGTTTTTGTGCTATTTACAACTATTGGCCTATAGGCCAAAACAAATTATCTATTAACACTATTTAATGAAGAGTCAAAATTGTTCTATCGAGGCAATAGTACAGTCAACAACTACTATTTAGACATTGATCACACCTTCTCCTATCATCTTCCCACCGTCTTTCTATCAACCTTTATCTTCTATTTACAAACTCTTTATCAACTTTCCCCAATTCTTTATCTTTCAACATCTTTCCGCATCTTTCAACACTTTCTCTCTGTCGATTTTCGACATCCTTCGACACCCTTTTACCACATCTCTTTCCATCTCTTGCAACACTTCTTTCTGTCGATTTCCACCCCTTTCATCATCTTTCTATCAACACCTTTCAACATCTTTAGACACCTTTCTACACTTTTTTCAACATCTCTCGGTACCTTTCGACACTTTTAACATCTTTCAACCCTTCTTACCTCCTTTCGTCTCTATTCATTGCTTTCGACATACCTCTTTCCATCTCTTTCAATACCTTGCACCTTTCAACTCTCTTCAACATCTCTTTCAACACATCTCTTTCAGTACCATTCATCATCTTCAACACCTTTCATCTCCCCTCATCACTTCTCATCGATCTCCACCTTTTTCACCCTTTTCATCACTTTCTCACTTTACGACATCCTTCAACGTATTTCAACACCTTACTCGCATCTCTCTTCCATCGCTTTCAACACCTTTCAACACTCTTTCATCTCCTCTCATCACTTCTCGTCGATCTCCACCTTTTTCACCCTTTTCAACACTTTCAACACATTTCAACGCCTTTTCATCCTATCTCTTAACGCCATTCAACTCTCTTTCATCGCTTTTAACACATTTCAACGCCTTTTCATCCCTCTGGAGTCTCCTCGAAACCCGTCATCGGGAACCAATCCCAATATTACTCTAATCCAATTTATATCGCAGGAGTCCTTCAGCGCCATTCATCTCTTTTTTATCATCTTTCTACCACACCATTCAACTCTTTTTCATCCCTCTGGAGTTTCCTTGAAACCCGTCATCGGGAATAAATCCCGATATTCGCTGGTCTACTTCGATATCTCGGGAGTCCTTTCTGGGAATCTGCTCTTCCCCTGCCACTCATCAAAGCTAACGACCTACCCTCCTATCTGCAAGGACGAAATTTCCTCTTATTCTGCCACCCCCTTTGTCTCTCCCCCTTTCAAGAGATAAGCTTATCTCGGCGGTCTTAGAGATCCTGTCTAGACTGGTCAGTAAACACTTTACTGTTGTTATTGGGAATTTGACAAGTCACTCTTCTTTAGTATTGTCTCCCTCCATGCGAGATAGAGCAACCTTATCATGGAAAAACAGAGATATATATGTACAAGAGTCGGCTGTCCTACAAGTTTGCTGAACAATACCCCCTTCAAGAAATTACGCAAGCCTTTCACAGAATTGTAGGTTCTAGATGCTAACTATAACTTGGTATGATCTTATGAATATTGTACTCTGGTTGAATCAGACTATGCAATTCCTCTCGTCCCAAAAGGAAGTTCTTAATATTGTTGACAACTCTTAACTCACAGGGTAGTAGCTTATAGAATTAAGTCGTTTATCTAAGACATGTTCATGCGGATGAATGGAGCCCTTCTAGTAGGTCATAAGTGTTCATCTGGGAACAGTAGATCTAGGTAAAATTTATTGTCATGCGTCTTTACTTCATGTAACAGGAGATGTCGCTCCAAAGGACCTTAACTTTAGGGTTAAAAAACTTGCTGCTTCTTTTAGAATAAAGCGGTTGTCAAGACCTTGATGTGGAAGGAATCTACATTTGACCAGTGTATATATTGTTGAATTTAAACTCTGCCGTCACTCTTTATCGTCGCCCAGATACTTTAGGGCGTCACTTGGTCCCTTGGTTATTACACGCGAATCCCGTCCGGTATTCAATAAGATATCAATGGTGATCTTTGTCACGTTTAGGAGGCCATCCCTTATGCGACCAAATCAACTTTCTCCCGACTTATAATACCGTCTCATCGCGGCAATTGAGATTAACTGGATCCAAGGAAGAATCTTACTTTTGTATATCTTCGTTAATTTTATTACTTCAACTGTCTTCTCCATTTCTTCTTAATACACTGGCCTGACACACTACACTTCTCCTAATCAGCAGTAACTTCAATCAATCCCAATGAGAAGGCCACTTTAAGGCGTCAGTTTCTTGTTAAACTCATGCATGGTTCCAAAAAAAAAAACTTATATATATACCACAGTGGTATCTGCTCCCACTGGTATTGGTATCCAATATGGGATCTTTCTATCTTATTTATTCAACTGTTATTAGTGTTATAACTGTAATCCCTTTTTCATCATTACTCCTAGACCCCCGCACAAACATTGTCTTTGATGTGGCTAATTCCTTAAAGTTCTGCCCTTTGAACACCCTGTTAGTTAGAATTGTATTAATTAATCACTGGAGTTATCTGCGATGAGTGGATTGAGCCTCCTTATCTAGATTTCCACTCTAACTCCAGGATCTAGACTGCCCAGACCTTTTACGAAAAAAAAAACTATATCTAAACACTATTGTCATGGAAAGAAACCACATATCTGATTCACGAGCATAATCGAAGCTTGCCTCTATAAAACAAGATAATTATAAGAAATCTGAAATTTTATATAATGAATCAGCACTATTGAAATATCTCTCTCGTTTTCTCTAAGGGAAGTGGGTTTTATTAAAAAGAGATGCTCAAACCCATACCATCAGAATACCCATGACTTTTGTTGATATATATTCTCTTACATTTGCCATGACAAAGCAATCCTTTTCCGTTGGTGTTGAAATAAATGTTCAACTCGTCTTATAAGACTCCTAGTGAATCCTTACTGAATGAATATCCATTCCTGTGCCAAATTATAATAAAGAAAAGGCTAAATATATACGGGCTTAAATTTCATCGTATCTGATCAGACCTTCTGCTGGTGATTATTTATTGTAATTAGATGCTGATAATGATGTCTTTATTTGTCCTTATTTTAGGAAAGGTGCTTCAGGGAAGTGGACAGAATCGTTGGAAATTTCATAATAAAAAAAAGGTAAATTCTTAATTATGACATATTCAATTTTATCGTGACTGTACCGTCACGTAAACAACTATTGTAAATCATACCATATCGGGATAAAAAGGATGACAAAATTCAACGTTTTAAAGAAGCAAAACAAACTATTACTATGCTATCATAGAAATTAATAGAAATACGCTTATCTAAATGTCAGGGGGTTAAGTTTAAAAATTGCATATTCATTGAAAATAGCAAAATACAAATAAACAAAATGCTGCAGTTTTACTCCAAGGGTGTGATTGGAAATATGTGCCAAACCATTATACAAAAGAAATACGTGTATTATAATTTAAAAAAAACTAAGATAGAGGTTTATGGGTAAGCATGACTAAACGCGTTC